AAATGCCTTGCTAGACTGAAACGATTCCATTGTAAACAGCATGTATTCCAACTTTGCCGCGCAGTCTGCAGAGACGCAGCACTTTTCTTCTGCTGCTAGCCCCCTCTCCAAACTAGGCAGGCAACGAAATTTTGCAAGGTCGAGCTTCGAAACGATATTGAATCTAACGAGAAAGCAACATTCATACACAATTCATGCATGGCTAAGACAGAACACGAGATGATCATTCAGTGCTAAATACAAATGTGTTTCGTTGGAGTTCCTGCCTTGTTCGAAAAAACCCAGATGCAACTTGCCCGCTTGATAGTCGACAAAGAGGTTGGTCTTCCTGAGCACGTCGGTTCCCAGCAAGTTGATGTCCTCAAAGTGCCCCGAAGAAATGCAGGGATTTGCAAAAATGCCCTCGATGTAGGTGTTTCGAGCATTGCCAACGCCAAGGTTTTCGTAGTCCGCTTTGCAAAGGAAGGTTTGTGGAGATCCCGTACCCACCAAGAAGGGAACATAGAACGTCTTCTTTACCGATTTGTACCCTGATGCCTTGTCCACCGTCAGCCGAAGTAGCACCAACAAGCGTAAACCCTGTGAAATGTCGGCTCTGACAGGAGGCTCCTCACCTGTGTCCTGTTTCATTGCCCAATCTCCAAAGGGGGACACCAAGTCAGAATGGTTGAGGTCAGTGAGGAGAATCTCGTCGACTGGAACGCGCGGAACGTAGTGCACCACATCAAGAACAAGCGGAGCAGCTGGTGCAGTAACCTTCAGGGGTGAAACTGCACCAAACTGAAGAAACCGATTACACGAAGCTTTGGGATACCGAGCCTTCTCACCGGCACTTCTTCCCAGGCTGCAGTATCTGTGGCTGCCTCGAAGGACCAGTGGCGTCATCCGCGAGAACGTTCTGCTTTGGCACGCCGGCTTTCTGATCACCCAAGCCGGTTTCCTTGCGCTGCTGAGCACACCAAAGCCGCCAAAACGGGGCCACCACCACAGCAACACCACCATAAGCACTGCAAGCCTTCCACACATGGCCCTCGTCTCTCACCGTAAACTTGCGAAACGACCCATGCGCGTTGTCTTCTTTGGAAATGCGTCACAGATTACACAAGTCACACTTGTTGGAATTCTACATGTCTGCGAACTTGGCACAAACCTTTCTGAGAAAATTCTACAACATGGATGCTGACATGGAGAGACAATCTCAAACACCACAAAATACTGCGGACATGAGCTTTCTTGACAGACTGCAAACAGCAGGTGTAACATGACAGCACCAAGGAGCCCATAACAAGAATGCCCATGGCTCGAGCAAACAAGCGTAAACATGCTAAAAGACGCTATTAGGTGTCCTCGCGTTGGAAACATGTGTGAGAAATCGGCAACTCTTTTCAAAATTGAAAGGTTTGACACACATTGAGAAGCCATCAACAAGAAATGTCCTAGAGTGATCTACATGGCCAGGACGGGTTCAAGGGCCAGCCACATCGGAAACCGTAAAGTAGCTCGGACGACCTCTAGGATCCGCCATGACCACAAGACACTCACAACAGCAACGTTCAGCTCAAGCAACAACTGCTTCCTTGCGGACATAATTGAGCTCACTTTCCTTTTTCAGGTACAGAGCTTCCAAGCTCCGCTACCACGTTGAAAACAGTAATGTTAAACAAAGCAAAATCTGTTCAAGGCAAATCCACAAGCGTGCACTTTGCAAGCACAAGAAATCGCCCAAAGAAAAGATAAGAAGAAAAACGAAGAATTACAGAAAGTCTGGTAGCAAGTCTTAGCTGGGCCTGGCGTGTGCAGCCAAATGCGGCAGGGTGCGCTCATAGAAACTACAACCAGTTCAGTGCTCAACCATTCAGCTCAAAATGCCAGTAAGCGACCTGAATTCAGGCGTCCTTCTGTCCTCAGGCCGCAGCCATCATCGGAGCATCTGTTCTTCCCGCTGGTTCCAGCATCTGTTGTTTGAGTCAAACGGCACCGGAACAAAGACGTTGAAGATGGCTTGTGATTTTTCTGCTGAAAACTTCCTCGACCAGTCTTCTTTCACTTCGGACCAGTCTGCTTGTGCAGCCTGTAGCCAAGCAAAGCTGCATGGAGCCCGAAACAGAAGCCTGAAAGGTTCATTCAAACTATAGATCTTCGGAAAGCCAACACCTAGAAAGAAAATTCTGCAAAGTCAACAAATAATTTTTGGAAATCAGAAAGTTCCAAGCTCTACTTTCCAGTGCGGCAGACAGTTCTTGACACCTGTAGACCCAGTTTTGAGCTTCTTTCCAACTACATCCAAGAAGACTTGATCAAAACTGCCCAGAATTTCAAAAATACTAAAACGCCAATTTTGGTCTCTCAACCAAAACTTTACAGTTCCTAATTGTAAGCCACACGAGGCGTAGTAGAAGAGACTTTTGGTGACATCAGCCACGGACGGGATCGTGACCAAATGGGTGCGCGCAGTGAAACCGCACTTTGAGCGCTCAAGGCCGAACATGACAACTTGCAAATCGACTTCACTCTTTTGATGGGAGGTGACGGTTGGACACGCACCTCAAAAGAAAATGGATAGGAAGATCAGAAACAGACTTTTCAGCGACTATGAGCAGTCCGCCGAGCATCAGCAGCCAGGTGGCATTGGCTAGACCTGCTCCGTGGCTGTGTTCGGGTCCTTGGCAGACTTTCCACGCTTGGCGGTCTGACTTGCGAGTTCAGTTGAGCTTCTTGGCCAACCGCCGTGCAATCCACTTCTTCGTCCAAAGAGAAATACGCACAAGAGATTCGAGAATCCAGGTTGAACCTGTGGGTTGAACCTGGATTGAACCTGGGTTGAACCTGGGTTGAACCTGGGTTTGAACCTGGATTGAATCCAGGTCCTCGATGTTGTTGTTCTTTCCCCACAGCCCCCCCTTGCCACTTACAGCGCCAGCTTCGCTGGTCGAGGGCCCCGCAGAGTAGAGTGGAGCTCGCCATGAGCCCTCCCCTCCAGCCTCGCGCCCCGGCTTTCTCAAGTCCATTCTCACGCTGCACCTCTTTGCAGGTTGGGGGGCCCGCAGCGCAGCCGCTGTGAGCCCCCTAGTTCTCAAGTCCTTCTTCTAAGCTGGGGAGCCGCAGAGCAGCGGAGTCAGTGAAGGCCGTGAGCTCTCTTAGTCCCTTTCCTCCAGGCTCACCCAGGACCGGAGCACTCCGTCCAGTTTTGAATCAGGTCCCTCGTGGAAGATCTACAGTCGAGCGAAGGGACACCCGCACAAGAGAGAGCCAAAACCACTCTCCGCTTTGGGCGTTCCACCACCACACTTTGACGCACTGGATCATAATAGTCTTGGAGCATGACAGCATACAGCGCTGAATTGAATGCTACGTCAACTGAGTTCACGACATTTCCAAGGAGCTGGCATGGACGCCTAACAGACCATCATACATACACACCCTACGAACTACAAGGTTCGTCAGGGATAAAACGTACTTTTGGCATTTTTTCTCTGCGGCTGGTTCTTGCGTCGGAGTCGAGTTGCCATCCGAGTCCGCCCGCTGGATTTCGGAAGGCCTCATGTTCAAAGTTCATAGCTAAAGCCATGGATCCGCTAGAGACGTCGCAAACCAAGTTTATGACCCTTCGCCGTCCTCCGCCGGATAGACCGGCAACCTCCCGTACTGTACTTTCAATCTGCTTTCTGGCTGCATCAGACACCCCACAAGCACTCCTTCTTGGGTTGTTCTTCGCCATTAGCACAAGCTTGAAACTATTCGGCTCGAACACGTCGCTTGAGTCTGATGTTAGGATTTTCGCTAAATGCTAGACAACAGAGAAAGGCTATCGCTTCGCACTGATTTCTGCACACTTTGTCTGTTTGTGCCAACCGCAGGCTTCACTTTTAGAAATCTACAAGGTTCTTGTCTGCTTGAGAACATCTGATCTAAGAGTTGAAAACATCCAGCCTTGCACCGGAGACAGGTTTTAGGATGATCGAGACATTGGAAAAGAGAGCAAACCGGGCGCTCCCCGGGGACCAAACCGGGGAATCCCCGGAATCAAACCGGGCGATCCCCGGAATCAAACCGGGCGCTCCCTGGGACCAAACCGGGGAATCACCGGAATCAAACCGGGCGCTCCCCGAATCAAACCGGGCGATTTCCAGAATCAAACCGGGCGATTCCCGGAATCAAACCGGTGATCCTTTTCAGGATTTCCGGAAAAAATGCCAGAATTAGTCAGATCTGACACTGCCCCAAAAACGCGCTCAATTTCATCGTCAAAGCGCCAGCACTCCAAGAGCTCGTGGCACCGGAAAGTCTCCAAGCAACAAGAAGCGCATGGAGATGTTCATGCTCAGGCAGGCTAAATCAGCCCACAGAGAAGTGTCTGACTGAGTGAGCTCTTTCGATGACCAGCCCTGTAGCAAGTGCAGAAAGCGATTTTCACTTCTCGTGCCTTCTCGAGTGCGAGCCAGCAAAAAAACGGGTGTTTGGTGTCGGTTTCGGACCAAAAACGACAGGGACCTAAGACGCAACGATCATCAGCCTTGACTCGAAATTTTGCGGATAGCAATCGGAACTCGAAGATTGTGGACCCGAACAGAGCTCACTCAACCGGAACTCGAAGATTGTGGACTTTCTTGCCATGCTCACTCACTCACTCCGCTCACTTCGCTCACCGCTCGCTCCGTTTACTCCGTTCGTGAGTGAGCTCCGCTCGGACCACAATCTTTGAGTTTCGATTGCTAGCAAAATTTCGGTCAAAAGGCTGATGATCATTGCGTCTTAGGGCTTCTAAGCCTGTCGTAGATTCAGCTTAGATGCACTTAGTTTCCTCCGCGGGTCGACAACTGGGTGGGACAACTGGGTGGCGTCGTCTTCCCCCGCCGCAGCACGAGTGTCGTGGCGTCGTCTTCCTTCCGCCGCACGAGTGTTGTCGCGTCGTCTTCCCGAGCGTCTCCCGCAGCACGAGTGTTGTGGCGTCGTCTTCCCCCGTCGCAGCACGAGTGTTGTGGCGTCGTCTTCCCCCCGCCGC